CCAATATCCCAGCGGCCACATTCCCCCCTTTTCCTTACATTTATTTCAATAATCAATAGTAACATTTCTGCATATTAATGATACAAATGATTCTAAAAGTTAAGTTTGACTTTAACTCATATACACGATCGCTGTTTTTATAGTATTTAATGATTTATTCATTTATTTAATTATACATATTTATTATTTTTCATTTTCAGTTGATGGGTCTCACAAAAGAGTTGGAATTGAAGAAATAAGCGAAGAATACCTCGACATACCGCTGACCACAGAGCAAGATGAGTATTCAGCCGCACGGCCCCGAATTTTGTACAGGAGGTTTAGGAAAATGACCAATTTAATGAACCACGTGGTGGCACACCAAATAATTCGGCCACATGGTTGTAATTTAAGCGGAGCATAAATGTGAATCATTTAAAGGTGAGTTTCCTTGTAACTGCTTTTTTAAACAATCCAAAATTTTGAAAATGCATAATTTGAAAAGAGTCTGACGTATCTAGTAGTCAAAACTGGTTCATATCTAGTCGTCTTTGCGCGAGAACGTTATAATCGAACAGAGTCTCTTTCGTTCCTAGTTCTCCTCTGAATCCGTCATCTGTATTTCTTTTATTTTTGTTGTATAGTCTTCCATGTATTATTTTGGGAAATATCTTAAGTATGTGACTTATTAAGGAAATTGTTCTGTCCTGGGAGCATGTACTCACTTTAGTAGTGTTACAAACGTTGGCAGTACCCAATCTTCGGGTATTACTCCTGGTGTATATACTTTGTTGAACAGATCTAAAAGTATATGCAGTGTTTCTTTGTTAACGAGTTTCATTAGCTCAGTGGGTATTTGATCTGGGCCTACTGATTTTGTGGTCTTTGCATTTGTAATTGCCTGTTCTAATTGGTACATTATTATTTTCGGTCCTGTTTATTCCTAGGGTTCTTCTTGTATCATTCTATTATCGTCAAATAGTTTTATTATGTATTCTTGCCAAAATCTTAGTTTATCTTTGATGTCTGCAATAGGTTTACCATTATCATCTTTGAGTATCCCATAGTGTGCTCGTTTTTTGGTATTTGTTAGTTCTTTTTTTTTGCGCATATTAAAGCTGTCATATTTTCTGTCATACTCTTCTATTTATATGCATTGATCTGTTAACCACTTTTTCTTAGCCTGTTTTATCTACTCTATCTCTACTACTCTCTACTATCTACTATCTCTTTTATCTCTACTTTAATTCTACTTTCTAGTTCTTGATATTTTGGCTCATTTCTCCCTTTAGTTCTATCCTTTCTTCCATTAACGCTAGAATTTCTGAAGTCGTTCACATCTCTTTTTTATTATTTGTCTTTTTAGGCTTTAAATTTTCTTCTGTAGCCTTTAGTAATGCCTTCTGAATATTGCTCCACTTTTCAGTGACATCTTTTAATGATAAGATTTCTTCGCCTACTTTTGCTAGATTTGAGTTGACTTGATGGATCACTTTTTGAGGTATTTCTCTTTTTCCTAATTTTGTTTAATCAAAAGTTGGTTTATTTTTATTTATTACAATATTTTTGAGTTTCACGTGCATTCTAGCTATCAGCGGGTTATGGTCTGAATTGAAATCTGCTCTGTTTTTGTATCTATTTTTAACTAATATATAGTCTATTTGATTTCTAACTATGCGACCTTTGTTGGCTGCAGGAGATCTCCAAGCGAATATTCTTTTGTCGGGTAGTTAAAACATTATGTTAATTATTGCAAAATGTTCATTTGGACAAAAATCCATAAGTCTATCCCTTCTTTTGTTTCTGTCATCTAGTACAAAGGCTATAGCGGGATAAGATGGTCAAAATTGCACCATGCTCGATTTAGTTTTGGGCCTGGCCATTCGAAAGGACATAAATAAAAACTCACTCAGTTAAATTTTCAAGTCCTTAGGTGCCTCTGGGGGTTCGCTATGAGAAAAAACGTATTTAAAGAAAAAAAAATTTTTTAGACGCTGTATTGCTGCAAAAAATGTGAAAAAATTCAAGAGAGCATAGTTTAATAATACAATACTATTTGATTTTTTTCAGATTTTTAGCTTGAAAATTGAGCCAGTGAAAAATATTTGTAATTTTCAGTAATATTTTAGGTTATGTCGGAAATCTTTGGCCAACTTTAAAAGAATGTTTTTTTATGGGTTTTTTCCCGTTCTTTCGAATGGCATAGGTATTATTTATCATTTTCAACGTGGAAAATGCCTAAAAATGCCGAAAAAACTGCTTTTTGGCATTTTTCTGAAGCACCCCCACCCCTTAATAATAAATTGTATGGGCCTAGGAACAAAACAAAAAAAAAATAAAAATATTAATAAAATAAACATAAATTAGGTTTTTTAGTGAGATGGATGACTCAGAACCTTAAAAACATACATCTAAATTAATGATAAGTCATATTTTTATATGTATTCTTACCTTTACAATCGAAACAAGCTATTAAAACTATTATTTTTTTCCTACAGCATGCTAAAAAAACGCAAAGCCCCGTTTTTTTCGGCGTTGTTTTTAAGCTTTCGCTATATAACCTCTAAAGCCAGTGTAAATAAATGGTAATTTACATTTTCACATTTATCTTTCCCTTTACAATCAAAATCAGTTATTCGAAGCATTAGTTTTATCTCACAACTTTCTGAAAAACCGAAAATCCCCGTTTTCTCCATGTTTTTACTACATAACCTCAAAAGACTCTGAAAAATAAATCATGAATTAGAACGCACTTCTACACTCAAAAGTTGTGGAATTAAAAGCTAGCGAATATATCTACATATATACGTGGTATTATATCAAAATGTACATGCATTTATACACAAACGCATATCTATATAGTTGAGTGTACAAGTGCGTTCTAATTCACGATTCATTTTTCAGAGTCTTTTGAGGTTATGTAGTAAAAACATGGAGAAAACGGGGTTTTTTCGGTTTTTCAGAAAGTTGTGAGATAAAACTAATGCTTTGAATAACTGATTTTGATTGTAAAGGGAAAGATACATGTGAAAATGTAAATTACCATTTATTTAGACACTGACTTTAGAGGTTATATAGCGAAAGCTTAAAAACAACGCCGAAAAAAACGAGGCTTTGCGTTTTTTTTAGCATGCTGTAGGAAAAAAATAATAGTTTTAATAGCTTGTTTTGATTGTAAAGGTAAGAATAAATATAAAAATATGACTTATCATTAATTTAGCTGTATGTTGTTAAGGTTATGAGTCATCCATCTCACTAAAAAACCTAATTTATGTTTATTTTATTAATATTTTTTTTATTTTATAAAAACTGATATTATTGTATCTTATGGCAGTATAAATAAATTTTTTGTTTTCTATGTAATACTTATTTTTTTTTTGTATTGTTCCTAGGCCCATACAATTTATTATTAAGGGGTGGGAGTGCTTCAGAAAAATGCCAAAAAAGCAGTTTTTTTGATTTTTAGGCATTTTTCACGTTGAGAATGATAATAATACCTATGCCATTCGAAAGAACGGGAAAAAAACCCACAAAAAAACATTGTTTTAAAGTTGGCCAAAAATTTCCGACATAACCTAAAATATTACTGAAAATTACAAATATTTTTCCTTGGCTCAATTTTTAAGCTAAAAATCTGAAAAAAGTCAGGTAGTATTATATTATTAAACTATGCTCTCATGAATTTTTTCAGATTTTTTGCAGCAATACAGCGTCTAAAAAAAATTTGAAAAAATTGAAAATTTACCTGAGTGAGTTTTTTATTATGTCCTTTCGAATGGCCAGGCCCAAAACTAAATCGAGCATGGTGCAATTTTGACCATCTTATCCCGCTATAGCATTTCCCAACATATTCGTTAACTTTCCCTCTCTCGACTTTAGCATTAAAGTCCCCCATTACTTTTGTAATGTGTTTTTTTTTAATAGATCTTAAAATTATGTCTAACTCCATGTAAAAATATTCTATCTCCTCTTCATCCGTATCCGCTATTATTGCGTATACTTAAATTAAGTTAACTTGTTGTATGTTTGTCTTCCGCTGAACCATTATCACTCTCTCTGAGTAAAGGGTGAATCTCATAACTGATTTATTAGTTTCTTTGTCTAATGAGATTGCGTCTCCATAGCGATTACCCGGATCGTTGTTTCCAGCATAATACATCATGCCGTTTTTGGTTGTAAGTTTGCCGATGTCTGGCCATTGTACGTCACTTATGACTAGTATATTTATTTGCATTCTGGTCATTTCTTGTATTAAATTGTCTAATTTTTCTGGTTGATACAAGCTTCTTTCATTCCATGTTGTAAGTCTTATTCGTCTACATTTGTGTATGCTTAGACGTGGAATTATATTATCTAAACGAGGATGTTGCTCGCTATTGACTTGGAAGTCTTTTACATGATTTTTTCCTTCCCTGCTGGATCTTGGTTTCCGGATTCCATGATCAGTAACGGATTGATTTTTTTGCCCATTTGCCATGATGAATGTTCTGTAGAAATCTTCTGTTGAACCTTCAATGCATTGGTTTCCCCTTGCCTTCTGCATTCTTCTACCGTTGACCAATTTATGGGTTCTTCCGCCTTTGAAGTCGATTTCTCAGCTCCAGGACAAAAGATTCACTCGACTCATCTACCTAAGCGGTTGGTTCGTAAGCAGGGGATGGCTTTTACTGGCAATCAATCGGTCCCTATCAGCGTTAGCCATCAACATTGATGTTGTCCACCTTCTACCACGTGGAGGTGCAGATTTTTCCTTTATCGAGATTAAGACCTTTTGGCATTTCTTAATCTCTCCAGAGCTTTAGTAAGTGACACTTTTATTAAAATGCAAAAATTTTGACTAGTTAGACTTTTATTAAAAGACAATAAATTTCCATGAAACAAAACTTGGATACTACGTCCCTGACTTTTCTTTGTATATCACAATTGTTATAAGATATTGTTCATATCTTATAACAATGTGTATATATATGAATCACATGCGGTAAAATTAATCATATCGCATTTGTCACTTTGATCTCGCAATGTCGATACAAATATTATTTCTTCTTTGCTTGTGTTTTATCGCAGGAAGAACAAATGCTCTTAGTTGTAAAGACGAAAACAATCGTGATGTAGATTGGTAAGTTATGTTTATTCGATTAATATCTAATTGATTTACAATTTGTTTATAACTTTACCTGGTAACATTGTAATCTCCAACATTTATTTAATTTGAAAAGAATTATTAGTTTTAATAAAAAGTTCTTATATTTTACCTTCAGTTCAGTTTAAAAACATTAAACAGTGTATGGTGAATGGTTAGAATAGAATAGAATAGAAATATGCTTTATTGTCACTGAAAATCTTTGAACAATTTTATGGACAAAGCTAAAAAATAAATCAGTCAAATAGTACAAAAAGTATAAAATAAATACAAATATAATAAAAAACACAACAGTGCAGTATTAAATTAGTAAAATTATTAATTAGTTAAGTAATTATAAACAATAGTAATTTTGTTTCTTTGGAATACATTAAGAAACTCGTCAACTGAATGATATGGTCTTTCAGACAGATAGATTTTTGTCACCTTACGAAACTTAAATGAAAGATGTTGCGGATTTAATTTCTCTTGGAAGTTGATTATAAATTTTTTTTGCACTATATAGAATAGAATTCTTTACTAGCTGAGTGGACGGGATCGGTTAATAAACGTTACAATCCGAATTTCTAATGGAGTGGCCATGATCAGGTCTATCGGGAAAAATGTTTAGACGCTTTCGAATCAAACAAACCGTTTCCAAAATAAATAAAGAGGGAAGCGTCAAAATTCCGTGATTTTTGAAGTAGGTCTTGCAATGAGTTGCTTGTTTGAGACCTAATAGATAACGAATTGCTTTTCTTTGCAACTTAAAAATAGTATTAAATTGGGCCGCACTAGAACCCCAAAATGGAAGCCCATATCGAAGATGGGACTCGAACAATGAGAAATATGCCATTTTAACAGAAGATAAATTTAGTTCCTTCGAAACAGATCTTATTGCAAAGCAAACTGAGGCTAGTTTCTTCCTTAAGGAGTTAGTATGCAAGAACCATTTAAGATCACTGTCGATAAGAATACCTAGAAATTTCACGGAATTAACGATACTGATTTGGCTCTCATTCAAAAGCAAGGGTTGTATAACTCCTTTATAAGACAATGCTACTGTCTTATCTACGTTAAAGCTAAGTAAGTTTGAGTCTGACCAAGCCTTGATTATAAGTAAATCAACGATTATAATTGAATGAAGCGTTGAAATATCAGAGCTGCTCTAAGTAATACTGGTATCATCAGCAAAAAAAAATTTTTCCTTTAATTTTCAATGGGACCTAATACTGAACCTTGCGGTACTCCACACTCAATATCTTTACAACTAGAGTCGGCGTCTTTTATTCTAACCAATTGTTTCCTACCTACCAAGTAAGTTTTAAACCAATTCAAAGACACACCCCGAATTCCATAGAAAGTTAATTTTTTTAATAGAATGTCGTGATTTACGCAATCAAAGGCTTTGGAATAGTCGCAGAACACGGTGGCGGAGGAGAGGTTACTATTTAGTGATATACCTCATGTAACACAGAAACCATGACATCACTAGTACATTTATTGTTGTTGAGTTGAGTTGGTTGAGTACTGGTGCATATTTCTTCAAGGTTCTGCAACAAGTTTTAAAAATTATCTTCAATTTTGACTCCTGTAGGTAGTTCTACATTGGCTACATTGCCTATTAGGTACCTCCTTAGTCCGATATAACCTGAGAAATTACGGAAGTAACTTCTTTTTTATCTTTATGTGATATATTTGGCACTTGGTACGTAATCTCTTACAACAGATGTTTAAATAGTAATTTTACCGATTCTGTAAAACGACTGTAGACATGGGCTACCGGTTAATCCAACAGCATGTTTGCGGTCAAAGAAAAGGGAATTGCTTTATTTTGCAAATACCTGAGATTATTTATGCGATTTAATCTTTTTATGGCTTGATACGCACAGGTTTTTTTTCTGTTATGTGTTGCCAGTTTCTCAGGAGTCTATTTGAAATCATCAAACAACCTTGACTCAGACCTTTTAAAGTGGTTTGGTGTTTTCAAAGTAGTTAATGGATTCATCTACTGCTGGTAATATCTGATCTTATGAATATGGCATGTGTTTCCGTTTAAAATTAGCTGACACGTCTCCAGTTGAGAGAGCCTTATATTCGACCATGTTACTCACTTTTTCATTTCGTGTATCTTTAGTCATTGTTCCATTTCAGTTTCAGTAGTTTGTGTTTACATACGGATCCTCCAATTACACTAAAAACTGGGGTATTAAACCAAGGATCAGATTTAATACCCAATATAACAAAATCAGAAATCAAAGAAGCCCTGAAGAAAATGAAAAATAATCGAACCCCGGGTGAAGATGGAATAGTATCAGAAGCACTAAAAATTGGAGGGGATGTATTACTTGAAAAAATTAAACAACTTTTCAATATCTGCCTTCACAGCGCCAATATTCCAACAGACTGGAACAACGCTACTATGATTCTATTACACAAAGCAGGAGACAAAGCAAATTTAGAGAATTACAGACCGATTAGCCTCCTTAGCCATATATATATATAAGTTGTTTACGCGAATACTAGTTAAGAGAATGGAAAGAAAATTGGAGACTTATCAACCAAGGGAACAGGCAAGATTCCGAAAAAGTTACGGAACAAATGACCATCTACAAAGTATAAAAACCCTAATAGAGAAAGCAGTGGAATACAATAAACCTCTAGTTCTAATATTTATCGATTTTCACAAATCTTTTGACACAGCTGAGCTAAGCAAAATATTACAGGCGCTTAAAGAATGCAGGCTAGATTATAGATATAATAAATTATTATACAAAATATACCTGCAGGCAACAACCACTGTCAAATTACATACTAACAGTAATCGCATAAAAATAGAACGGGGGTTAAACAAGGAGACCCAATGTCCCCTAAACTTTTTAATACGGTGCTAGAACATGCTTTTAAGAATTTGGATTGGATGACAAAGGGAATAAAAATAGATGGAGAATATCTAAACAACTTACGTTTCGCCGATGAAATACTTATAATAGCTGAAGATCTAGGTATGGGAAAAGAGATGGTACAGGAACTCGTTGTGGCTACAGAAAATGTAGGTTTAAATATAAATATCTCGAAAACAAAAATCATGACCAATTTGGTGCCCAACCAGAACATCAGTATTGGTGGGAAAGAAATAGAACTCGTAGATAGATATAAATACCTGGGACATGAAATAATGATTGGCAGAGATAACCAGACTCATGAACTGAAGAGAAGAGTCGGCCTTGGGTGGGCAGCATTTGGAAAACTGAGAGAAACTTTTAAAAGTGAGCTGCCCACATGCCTAAAGAGAAAGGTATTTGATCAGTGCGTCCTCCCAGTCTTGACGTACAGAGCAGAAACACTTACCTTAACAAAAGCAGCAGCTACTAAACTAAGAGTCACGCAGAGAAGAATGGAGCAGTCCATGTTAGGAATAACTCTCCGAGACAGAATAACAAACGAAGACATCAGGAGAAGAACCGGAGTGACTGACATCATCGAGAAGATAGCCAGACTAAAATGGAGATGGGCAGGACACATAGCCAGAATGATAGATGGGCGATGGACAAAGAGGTTATTGGAATGGAGGCCAAGGGAAGACAAGAGAAGCGTCGGTCGACCACCTACAAGATGGACTGACGATTTAAGAAGACTCAATAAAAACTGGATAAGAGCGGCGCAAGATAGACGGGGTTGGAAACATGAGGAAGAGGCCTATGTTCAGCAGTGGACTCTTGAGGCTGGATGATGATGAGTTTGTGTTTTGGTTTCTTCTTCTTTACGTGCTATCTCTGCAACGAAAGTTCCCAATTATCACTGCTATTCTAACTTTTGATACCAAAGCCCGAAAAAGTTCATTTGAGCTTTAAATTGACGGTCTGCTTTTTTCTTTTTCTGGTAGGTATTTGGCTGGTTGATGACCTAAAAAGCCCTGACTTCGTTCCTGTCGGATTTTGGACCCTCATACCCTTGATCAGTACACGTCTGCGTACTCTGTCTTTTTATTTCATAATGAATCAACTAGGAATCTAGTTGATTCATTATATAGATTTTTAATACAGTGGTTTCCCGTTGCCTTCTGTATTCTTATGACGTTGGCTAATGTTTCAGCTCATCCGCCTTTAGGGCCAGTTTTCCAACTCTAGGACAAGGGAGTGCCCTGCCACTTACCAGCTCATCCGTCCGAAGCCGTTGACAGTAAGTGGGGGTATTGCTTATACCGGCAATTTCTCGGACGTCAGGGGCTCGTTTGTTATCTGGCAGGATTCACCGAATGGTCATGATCGAGACCATTACACGGGCAGATAAGGTTGACATTTGAATCGAAGAGGCTATACGTTGTGGATCACTATACCTTACATCACAGCGATTTGGTTTAACAACTTCAAATTGGGTGTCCAATCAAACTACGATGGTGTTTGATTAAGGTACTAGTTTCTGTCTACCTTACAATTTACTATACACATCTATACATATAAGCAGTTATCCTATTTTCCAGTAATCTTACTCTATATTATTGAAATATATGACAGCGGCGACCAGCCAGGTGAAGTAGGTGAAGGTGAGGTTCCCCAAAAAAAATATAATTAAATTGAGACAAATAAAAAATAAAAGCAACATTATTATATCCAAATTCTGAAATTAATTATTTATTCTCTTTTAATTAATCTAAAAATAAAAAAGACAACTAGCTTTATTAGCGGTAGGTACTTGACGGTCAAATCCTGACCTGTGTCACTAGCCGTGTAGGATTCAGTAATAGGTGAATATCATTTTTGAAATGCTAAATCCATCTGCATAAGCGTTCACGGTTGCTATGGCAACGTGACGTCACCCTATCCTTAGTGATAGCTGAGAATACTGGCGAATGCAGTTCCGCCAAAAAATATTCTATCCGTCTTCCCCCACTGTTGGATGTGTATTTGGTATTACTATTTTTCGGAAATTTTTCTCAGCGATAATATTTTGAAATTTAGTCCATTATATAGATATTTTTTATATAGTATAGAGTA